GCCACTATACATGTTTTGAAAGTGACTTTGAAGGGGCCTTTGTAGGACAGGGTCAACAAACTTTTTCTCGAAAAGGCCAGACAGTAAATCTTTTATTTGGCTTTGCAGGCCACGTGGTTTCTGTCACAGCCGTTCAACTCCGAAATCGTAATGCAAAGGCAGCCACAGGCAGTACACAAACCAATGAGCATAGCTGTATTACAATAAAACTTTATTTACAAAAACAGGCAGTGTGCCGAACTTTGCTGATCTCTGTTGCAGGGGAAATGTTTTATTCTGTAAATATAATATACTATATACCATATTCCAGTGGGAAATTATTAATAGAAGCTCTGGATGTACAGTCATCTACTAACTCTTAAAAGAATATACAGATCACATAGCTGAAAAAAAGAGTGTATATAGGTACATAGTAGAGTCTACATTTTAGTGACACGTTTAAGTCTAAAATTTTATGGGAACAATACAAATTGCTTCCTATCAGTTTTGTGGCTGAGGGTGAATTATTTCGGTTAAGAAAATTACTGAAAAGAGGGGTGTGAATGCACACCTTAGCTGTGATGGGGTGTATTGCAAACCTCTGCCACCAGGGGGTGGTGTTACCCATTATTTAAATCTCACCGCTTGTAAGGTGTGAGGGGGAGCTGCTCTGGATAAAGGGACCGGGAGGACGTTGAATGGGTGTTATAAACCAGCAAATATAGTAAATCAGCAGTTACAGTGCGGGACACCATCGGGTGACCCAGAACAAAACGTTTACATTCTGTTCCTCCATTTGTACCAAAGTCAACAGTTTGGTTGTCTGGGTTCAGTTTTGTGCTCTGCCTTTGGTCTTCCAGAAATTAGGCAAGTATAATGCTCACAGCTAAAATTCCCGGGGGGCATTTGTATTCTTACTGGTGGAAGTAGAGAGAGGTAAGCCTTTCAGAGAGAATCAAATACTCCTAAATTTATCCATCCTACGGATAATGAAGTCTTGGCAAAGACCCACATCCTTGTGACTTCACTCAGGCATTTCAGTTAATCCAAAAGCTTGAGTTAACTGGTATCTTGGGTTAATTCAACCTGGAGTTTATCAAGCAGCTTCCAAGTGCCTTGACCCATAGAAGACCTTTGTTTAAACATACAAGTATCTCACTGACGTCTCTCCAAAAGTATAATTAAATCCAACCTAATGAAAAATTGGTAAGAGGGCGCTTGATGTAGCAGAGGATATAATAAAAGCAAATTCTGCGAGAGAAAGAAAAGGAATTATAAATTTGGGAGGAGAAAAGGATGGAACAACAACAAAGGAAATGTAACCAAGGCATATGACTTCATAGAGAACAAAATCTTGTAGATGTAATGATACAAACAAGGGCTTGGCAAATGTTTTTGTTAAAGGGCCAGATAATAAACATGTTAGACTTTGAGGACCAGATGGTTTCTCTTGCAGCTCTTCAACTTTGTTGTTATGGTGAGAAAGCAGCCACAAAAGATACACAAGGAAATGGTAGTGACTATGTTTCAATAAAACTTTATTTACAAAAACAACAGTGGGCCAGATTTGCTAACCCCTGATACAAGCTTTGTCTACTGATTCAATTAGAGATAGGGGGAAGGGAAGGTGGTACAAGAAAGCTAAATTTTCATCTACCATAGCAGAAGCTAATGTAGACAAGATCTAAATTTGACATTCAGAAATAGCCTGTAATATAATATATAATGGTATATACATATTACATATATACTAGTGTGTATAGCAAGCCTATTATGAGGACGTTCCACATCTTTTACTATGTGATTGCTGGAGCCAAGGAGAAGATGAAAAGTAAGTGACTCGCAGCGATGCCTGCCGGGGAGGCTTCAGCCTTTGCTTTGATCAGAATCCAGGGAAACGGAGTCTCAGATCCTGCCGAGAGAAAGAGCCGTGGCTTTGGGTGGCAGATGTGTAATTCCTCATCTCCTTCCAGTGACTGAGTGTGGCTTTTGTTGAGTCATTCTCATTTACTGAGCACCTACTATGTGACGTAGCAGACATCAACTCCAATTAGACATTAGATCGTTGAGTAATTGCGTCCAATTAGACTGGAGGACATCCAGTGCAATTAGACACAATCCGTGCCTTCAGGGAAGGGAGACAGACAAGTACCTTATTTGCCAATTCATAAGACTTGCAAGTATATAAGACGCATTCTGATTTTATAAGGAATTTGCAGGGGCGGTGGAACTAAGCACTTTTCACTATACATGTTATTTATTTATTTTTTATGCGGACAGAGTCTCATTCTGTTGCCCGGCCTAGAGTGCCGTGGTGTCAGCCTAGCTCACAGCAACCTCAAACTCCTGGGCTCAAGCGATCCTCCTGCCTCAGCCTCCCAGGTAGC